TCCGGTTAGGCTCAACTCAAATGGCGAGGAAAGCAATGTGACTAAATCTAATGCCGTAGTCTTCCACTCAGGCCAGTGTCAATTGTCAAATACGAGTGTAATCCAATTTCTTTATTTATATTTCTTTCACTACTTGTGAGTTATTTTGAAACTATTCTCCAACTTCAATTTGCTTGTTATTCACATATGTTTATCGTACTCATTGCTTTTCTCTGAATAATTCAATACTTGTGACCTAAGATTAGATGCCAAATTTTGGGTCACATAAATGAGGGCAAGAGAAATTGCTTGTCGATCGACTATTCTTTTTTTGCTTTATAAATTGCATAGATGAGTCATGAGGATAACTACTTAGTGCTACTTATTTCAGAAAGGAATGAAATGAAATTTGATAAGAAAAACTGCATACCGACCTTTGTTTTGAAAGGGAACTATCATGTTTTGAATGAAGTGAACTTTTGAGTCAAAAGGAAACTAATCATTGTTTGAAAAGAAATACAAATAGAGTTCGACACTTAAGAATTTAAAAGGTAGATATCGACCCACATTTATCCATATCTTGGTTTATCTAATCTTTTGCACTACGTCACCTCTGTACAAATCTGTATATTAAAAACATTTTTCCTCTGTACAAATATCTCTTCAAATTAAAGAGTATTAACATAGGACGGAAATTAAAGATAAAGAGCTTGTTTATCATATGGGACGTGACATATTCAATGGAGAGAAATATATGATATTTCATTCTTTTCAGCGGGATAACATTGAATTTGATTTCAATTAGCTATGAATACCTTCTTATTGTTATCTCATCTGCTTTTCTTTTTTCTTTCTTAATGCTAATGATAATTATTTCACGTACTTTCTTCCTTGTGTATGTACGTCTTGTTAGAATATTATTTGAATTGAGTGAATACCTAAAAAGTGATATCAATACAAAGCTAAACCCAAAATAACTTTTTGTTTCGAGTTGAAGAATGATTCCTAGCAGTCTAGCACTCTCATATCTAACTCATGCTATGATTAAAGGGGAATCTTCTCTTTGATTGCCGACCTAAGGTGCACCACACTATATTAATTAAGACTTATTACCTAAACACCTAGTGTGTGTAATATATGAAAATGAAAGCTTAAAAATCTCACGTTGGGTTGGATCCCACAAAATGACAACCTTATGATTCCATGAAAAGTCTAATCGAAGTGAAATCCTAAAAAATAGTTTTAGCTCATTCATTCCACATTTAAGTACTCCTATCATTTTATGCTATCTCCTTCCTTTTTCTCATTAGCACGAGTTAATATGTTCTACTTTTTAACCTCAAAGCAATAGAATTCTTTAAAAGTTCATTGAGAATATGAGAGAAGTATTCGTTTTGTCTCAAGATATTATCTTTCTTTGCTTTTGAGAAATAAGGATGCTAAATCTTGACACGTTAATGTTAGAACTCGTTTTTTAATATGAAAAAGGTCCAAACTTACGCCTGAATTATATGAAATGGTCTAACTTGCCCTCCATCAATAGTTGGGGTTAATGATGTCGTTGTTGTTACCAAATTGAGCCAGACTTGCCCTTATTGGCTAACAAGTGAAGCTTTGAAACTAAATAGTTTTCGTTAATAGTCAGATCGTTTTGCATAGTTTGGGGATAAATTAGACCTTTGTCCTCTTTTATACATTTAATATTTAGCATTAAAAAGCTTAATTTTTGTACTATCAGTATAATTTAATTAGTCACAGAAGATTTCACTCTATTTTTCAAGATGGATATTAGAATGCAAATTTCATGTATGATTGGCCGAGTTCCTAAAATAGCATGAAGGAGCATTAGGGATGAGTTTCGACGATCAAATCAACAATGTTCATTTTGAGTTATTGCCCTATGTTAGTATATCTGCTAAGTGAAACAATTTGATTTCTTAATTTGGGTAATCGCCTCAGATCGTCTTATTCATTTTGTTAATGATGAATTTGCCTACTATATGATGAGACGTTATTGGAATATTATGGTGGTTTGCACTTTAGCCAGATGTTGCAAATGTAGAGGACTAGAGGTGGTTTTAGGAGTGGCCTTCTCGAAGGAAGTACGGCTCTATGACTTATTACAAATTTAATTTTTATTATTATTCCTTTTCTCAAGAAAACGATCGCCAAAATTTATATTTTCCGTCTCATACGATGTGAACTATTTTAATTGCGGCACGAAGTTAAGGAAATTAAAAAAACTTTTAACGTACAAAATCAAATATATGCAAAGTAATATAAATATCCTTTTAAATAAGTGATGGTAAATAAGAAAATAAGTGGTGATAAAGGTAGGGCTGTTCAAAACCGAACAGAAACCGTTAACTGAACTGAACCGAACCGAACCGATGACTTATTGGCTTATTGGTATCGGACTATCGGGGTAATGGATGGTGAACAGATTGCGGTTTTATAATTAACGGCTTAACGGTTTGGGGCAGATTACTCAATTTTCTTATCGGGTAAACCGTTAACCCGTTAAGAATTTGTATATTTATACTTTTATCCCTATGTATATAAAGTACTATTGAAATCCTAAATGGCTAAATCCCTAATATCTTTTTTCTAATTCTCAATTGTCTGCAGCCACCAGAGGCATATAAGTCGTCAGTCCCGTCTCTCTCTTGAACTGAGAACTGAGATGTCGAAAAATCGAAATCTCAATGATTAATACGTGCATGTCTGTATGAGTAGTCTTGATGGTATTAAAATTCTTGTTAATACGTGTATGACAGTATGAGTAGTCTTGAAGAGTCTTCAATAAAAAAATACTGTTTGGTTAGATCTTAGATGGTATTAAAAATTTTGTATTGATTTGAAACTGTTTGGTATTGATTGAATGATTGTTCAAAAATATTCTATTTGGTTTAGCCGATAAACCGTCCGATAACCGCCCAATAATTATTAATCCGATACCAATTTGTCACGCCCCAAACCTAGGGGGCGTGGCTGGCACCCGGAGCCCTACTGACACGGGCGAACCACTCTGTAACTCATGATCGTTCGACCAAAACTAGAATATGCATAGGTCGAGTTGACTGAACTCATTCCTTTTATAACTATCATGGGCCAACATGGCCACAACTCATAATGTACAACTTTAAGTAGGCAAACACTGTATCAGCAAACCATCGTACTTAAAACATAAATACATATGGCCGTCAAGGCCTCTGACATACTGTACATAATGAACCTGTGTCTACAAAGCCTCTAAGATTATTCGACATCAAAACATGGTCGGGACAGAGACCCGACCTACCCATAAGTGTATAGCAAAACTCTGACACGATGACTTATAGACTCGGCTGCACTCCGAATGAAGTAAAGTCTTACCGATCTTTCGTTGAATGCTAACATCGTCTACTATGAGGGCTCGTCAAACTGATTATCTATACCTGCAGGCATGAATGCAGCGTCCACAACAAAAGGACGTCAGTACGAATAATGTACTGAGTATGTAAGGCATGTAAATCAGTGTATAAAGGACATAAAAGAAACGTGGAATAAAGGACTCAACCTGTAAGTCTGGATAGCTTTGTAAATCATGAAATATTTATAATGTCATGCATATGTGTATAAATGTCAAACTTCGGCGATACTCAATTTTTTCGATTCGTTTACCCCCTGACCTTGATAACACTTACTTATCACTTGATATAAATATCATAAGCACTTATAACCTCAAAAATAGTCTTGTCATTGAACTTATGTCAATTATCTTATGACAAATCCAACGTAGAAAAGTACGGGATGTAACACAATCCGCGTGTTGTCTTATTGGATGGCTAGCGGATTATTACATTTATAATTCGATAACTGTTAAGCCGAACTGTTAAGCGTAATTATCCGTCCGATAAGCATCTCTAGATAAAGGTTCAATCTTTCTTTTCATTTTAAATGAGTAATAGCGAGAGTTCCAATAAGTTATATCATTAAAAGGTAAATTGGGAATGTTAAAACTAAATAACTTTTGAAAAGAGAAATATATCATTCTGTTTAAACCAAACTAAAAAGAAAATTGTGCCGCATTAAATGACATAGAAGAAGTAGGACAAAATATCGGCAAATAAAGTATAGACATTTTTTATAGAGACATTTTCTTCTAAATCAAATTATAACTAGTTGTAGGAGATTATTTCTGCTCTCCTTCTTCCTCTCCTCAATGCCCAAGTGAAAAAAAAAGAGGAAAGACAATCTTGGTTTGGTTTTTCACTCAATGTTAAGTACCTACACAATTGGGATTCGACTAATACGAATCCGTGCCTAAGACCCATTAAAAACGGAAGCACCTTCAACTAAAAAAACGATTACACTCAATGCTTAAATTTGAGACCTCTAATTAAAAACATAACAAATTTATTTATCTCACTACAATTTTGATGGCAAGGAAAAGATTATACTACTATATTTAAGTGGTTAATGGGATTCCAAAAATAGTGGGGGACAGGATTTCTGTTAAGGGGGTTCAAAAAAGAAAAAAGTTAAAAAATTAAAATAAATTTTGGCTAGTGAGAATTGAGGCAGTGATCTCACAAAGGTTTTGAATCCCCCTTAACAAATAAGGTATGTTTTTGCGTTGTGTCAAAGAAATTCAAAATATAATATATAAAGAGATAAAATACAAATTTTATATTATATATATAGTATAATTTTTTAGCGAAAGGGTATTCGGATGACGCCTTCCTCCCAAATCCGCCCTGCCCAAAAGCATCTTTTGCCCCGAAGCATAACCGTCGAGGCGGTCCAGGCCTCAACCCACAAAAAAGTAACGTGTGAACGGGCCCCACCAGATCAAGTCATCAATTACATCACCTGAAAAACTCCCAATAGAATCACTTATTACTATGCCAGCTAAGCTCAAAATTCTACCCCGTGTTTTAAAAGTGTATGAGCTGTCCCTCCACGTAGGATCTTCCCGCGTATATAAATAACTCCCCCCTTTGACCTCTCTCTGTATTTCAGAACTCAAGTCAAAAATAATTCTAAGTTTCAAAATTTTCAACCATGCAAAGGTCAAATAAGAGATTTAGAGAAGACGGAACGTCGAATTCAGCCCAAAATAACCAACAATTTCCACGGCTTACAGGAGAAGAAGAGTATTCTGTTATGGTTTCAGCTTTGAAAAATGTCATCAATGGTAATATTCCCATAGAAAATACTCAACACTTCAACTTATTTTCGCCTTTTCAATATTCAACTGCCACTTCTACTGCCACGACTGTCACCGCATATTCTTCGCCTTCGAACAGCATGTCTACAATTGAACAAGGAAATGTGGTGTCACCTATTTTAGGTGTCCCAGCAGAACAAGAACCCTGTCCATTTTGCAGAATCAAAGGTTGTTTAGGCTGCGACATTTTCGGAACCACGTCTTCTGCTGCTGTTAATTTTGCAGAATCAAAGGTTGTCGCTGCTGATGATAATAAGAAGAAGAGTACTACAATTTCAATAGCAAAGAAGAAGAAGAAGAATTACAGAGGAGTGAGACAGAGGCCATGGGGAAAATGGGCAGCGGAAATTCGGGATCCAAGAAAAGCTGCGCGTGTTTGGCTTGGAACTTTTAATACTGCAGAAGACGCAGCTAGAGCTTATGATAAAGCCGCCATCGAATTCAGGGGTCCAAGAGCAAAGCTAAATTTCTCATTTGCTGATTATACTGAGACTCAAGAACAACAGAGCACTTCATCTTCTTCACCTCAACAGTTGCCGGAGCCACAGTTGCAGCAAGGAAATAATGCAGAATTTGGAAATGAAATTTGGGATCAATTGATGGGGGATAATGAGATTCAAGATTGGTTGACGATGATGAATTTCAATGGTGATTCTTCTGATTCTACTGGCGGGAATGTTCACAGCGGTTAAGTTTCAGTTACTCCAAACAAACAAGAATTTTTATTTTTTTTTTAAATTATTCGTATAGTATTATTAATTAGGTGCTTTGCCTTCTTGTATTTTAACAAATTGGGCTCTTGCACATAAGGAAAAACTAGTAATTTTCTACTCATTTTCGGGTTGTGCCGTATGTAATTCGGCATATTAGTCGGGTGAAATGTAAAAATTATGAGGAATTAATGTGAATATAATTTTGTTTTTATAATTACTTCCCCTGTTTCAAGTCAGATGGAGCTTAGTACTATGGATTCAGTTGAATCCAATATATTTGATATGAGACATGAATATATAGAGACAAACTAATCAAATTTTAACTAGTTATTCCATTCGTTTCAATTTATGTGAACATATTTTCTTTTTAGTCAGTGCCAAAAAGAATGTTCAATTTCCCTATTTGAAAACAATAACATTTATGCAATGATTTATAGCCACACAAAATATATGTGTCTCATTTTACATCACAAGTTTAAAAGTTTATCTCTTTTTTTGAATTCTGTACTCAATCAAATGTGTTCACATAAATTGAAATGGAAGGAGTACAAAATTTTGAATCATAACTTTAAAAGTAAAATGCTTTAATACAAACTAATTAAGTTTAAATATTAAATTTGCTTTTTTCTAAAGTTTAAAAAATTGAAACGTGGGGTCAGATGAAACAGATACAAATCACCTGGTGATTTTGATGGCAAGCTAGAAAGTCACGGTGGCCCACAATACTTGGCAAAAAGATTTAAAAAAGATCATTTTTAATGTCGACTGAAAGAAACAACGTGCATAAATTAAAAATGTGGAAGCATATTTAACATGTGCTGATTTATGAAAAGAAATATGCCCACGAGGGGAAATAAGAGTGTTATCCAATCATTAGTTTATTATAGTACAACCAAGTTGGCAAAAAAGGGAAACAATCGACCTAGTCCAAATTCCAAAATAGACACACCAATTAATAACGTGCGTCAGTGGGAAGGACACAGCTGAGTCAGTTACTCGGTATTGTTGACGGCACTAACTTAATTTACGCGTACGGACCTGATATATTTGATACTCCCATTAACCTATTTGTGGTTCTTGTGCGGCGTAAATGTGTGCTTAAAAAAAGAGTGATATTTTTATATATAGCGCTCTTTTAAAGAGCGTTATATTTTAACGGAGTTTTGGCCGTTAGAGTATAACGTTTTTTAAAAAGCGATATATTATATAATGTCACTATAAACTGTGTTATAGTATAGCGCGGTATATAACCGCGCTATACTTGTTTTGTGGGCCCACCAATAAGTCTCATGCGTTTAACTGACATAACAATAATTCAAATGGGTATAGAGCTCTTTAAAAGAGCGTTATACCTAAAAAAAAAATCAGCCCACCGAGCTAGGCATTGCCTTATTTAAAGGCGTTAGGATT